CCGCTGTAATCCGCCCTGCCAGGTATAAGTCACACAACACACTGCTATACAGCCAGGATTAACCCAAGATTATGATCCTTGAGGTTTCCCACTGAAATATTAGAATCACCAAAAGGAAAAAGAATTCAAAGTAAATGTTGATGTTTTGACTTTGGTCTGCAGCATGATGTAAATAACTTTATGCCTTTTTTGGTCCTCATCATCTATCTTTACTTTGGTAGTTGAAATGTTGAAATGATGTGCGTGAGAAAGAAAAAAAACTACCTTAATTCTTGTTTTTCGATAGTGAATGTGGTAGCAGCACTGCCATCTCCTGGTGTTAGTGGGAATTTAATGTGAGAAAAAATCTCTAAACAAAAATTACTGGCCGCTAACACAGCCAGTAATTCACTTTAGAATTTTCTATAACTTAATTTAAGGGCAAAACTTTTGTTTTAAAAGGCAGGAAACTGTTTTGAGCATAATTTAAAAAGGTTTTAATGATATATCATTTTATCAAGTTTGAGACAGTATTATACGACAGAAAGGGCAGAGTTACATGTTTGTGCCAGATGTCTCTCATTGTAGTGTGAGTGGATCTAAAAACAAGTCTTTGTTTTTAGATCCACTCACAGTGTTTTTGATCAGGGCAATGTTTAAAAATGATGAAAAGCTCAAAAGATGTTTCCTTGAAACAAACATAGACAAGTTTTGCGCCTCATACAGTAATTCTGCTTTACTTAATGGCATTCACCATGGTGTATGTTGATGCAAAAGCGTCTTCCACAGTTTGTAATGAGCTGTAGATGCCATATTCAGAGCCCACTTTGTCACGTGATGAGAGATGGAGGACTCAAACGCAGGAATGCAAAAATAAAGGTTTTAATAAAACAAAGTCCAAGGCATAAAAATAAACTCGAAAATCCAAAGAAACCAGAACAGGACATGAACAAGACAAGAACAAGACAATGAACCAGCAACAAGGGGAGAGAAGCACAGGGTACATATAGACACACACAGACACAGGTGAAACACATCAGGGCGGGGCAGACAATCAACAGGGAACAGGGCATGAAGCAACTGTCAAAATAAAACCGAATACAAAAATAAAATCCACACCATGACACACTTTTCTTTTTTTTCTCCTCCAAAGCAGCGAATCGCCAACATGCTTCTCTGTCTACAAATGCACAAACTGTGAAGGCCCCCCACCGCTCGGTACATCACAGCCAGTGCTTAGTCTTTGATGGTATGTAATGATGAGTGCGGAGAAAATATTTCAGTTCAACGGCCATAGCAACAAGCATCTCTGTAGCCTCCACCAACACGTGCGGGCGGGCGCACTGGGCGAAGAACCAGGCGAGAGTCTAACCGTTACATAAGACGCGACTGGGGAGAGAAGAGCGGGCGAACTGAGCATGTGCAGAAGAGCGGAGCTGGCCCCAATTATAGCACCAACAAGTTCAGTCTGATTACATCTGTATAATTAAACATGTTAAGTGCCGGAAGATTGAGGTGTAAGAAGTTGAGACAGAGAAGATTTTTTTTTTATTATCGTGTCTGAGTTGTAAATGTGTCGTCGAGAGGTTAGGGATTGAGTTGGATGAGATGGGTCCAATGTCATCTTTGAACAAATAGACATTCAATGTGAATGTAATGTCGTTTTTGTTGGAAATCATATTACTACGCGGCATATGGTGTAATCACAGAGATGTTCAAAATGAATCAGGTTTATTTTTATTTAGTGGAGGCGGTGGTTAGTCAGATAAACTGTTATAGTACAAGTCGTCGTTGCATGATGGGAAATGGTTCCTAGTAGAAACCAGCAACAACTCTAAATGCAGTTGTATTGTGTCCTTATTGTCCGATCATAATCCAGGTCCGGTGATGGCCCTGCCCAAGTGGATCCTTTAGTCTCAGTCCTGGTCTCATTCCCAGAGAGAGTGGGCATGCTTCAGCCTAATCCAAACACTTGTACAGTCTGCTACCTTTGAATGTACTTGCAGAGAAGCATTTATTTTTCATGTTCCCAATCAGAACTGTAAATCCCACACAGACTGGTGATGAAATGTGTGCATTGCATTTCTGTTGTTCAAACTGTCGATTTGCCAGCAACAGATCAGAGAATCAAATTTGAAAAGTCAAGTTTTTGTGACTTAGGGCTGTTCAAAATAAAAACTGATTTAAATTGAGATGTATGCTTTTTTAGGATTTTGATTTCATAGATTTTTTTTTTTTTTTTTTTGACAACAAATGTATATTGTTTTCATTTTAATTTTGCTAATATTTTTTGGGACTATATTGAGAGCTATGGCTGTGCTGTCTACTTTAAAACACACATACATGAAGGACCCACCTGGTTTATCCTTCACCCCTTTTTCTTTTAAATCTTTCACATGCATATATCATTGGTCTATGTTACATTTTTAGATTTTTAGTTTATACAAACAAGTGAAAAAGAGAGAACCTAACCCACACTATGATAACATGTTTTCTCATCGGTTGCCATGTTGTGGGTTTGTTTTGTTCACAACATTTTACTTTTGCAAGACTCTTTCTGTTGGGACAAACAACATGTTTTATGTATGCCAAGAAAGTTATGAGACTCAGTTTTAACAGCCTTTCTCCAAGCATTGTGTTTTCATTGACTAAATTATGCGGAGGAATACCTTTTACCATTTGCCAGTCTCTTCACTTTCACTTTTGCCTCACCCTCCCTGACACCATTCCATATTTAACTTGCATGTTTAAAATTTCAACCCCAACGTGTCTGCTGCCAAATCCAAAAGGTACAAACAACAGTTGCACACAAGCTAAACCCATTTAAGTCAGCTGAGGCCATGCGCACCACTCTCTCCCTGCGAATCCTATCCCCTTTCTCCCAGGGCGGGGCAGGATGTCAGATCCGTGCCCGTCGGCCCTATTCAAAAATGCATGTTCAGCCACTCCTTGTAGGAAAGAAGTAGAAGTGCCAGTCATGACAAAAGTTCCTCAGACGACGCATGCATTTGAATATTTCATGTTGATTTGTATGAGTTGAGTGAATGCTAGCTTGACTGTTTTACCACGTCCTAGATTTGCTGTCAGGGAATTAGGCTGCATCCTGACTAAAGTGTCTCTGGAGTTTTGAGTTGCAAATGTACTTTTACATTTGGGCATGGTATGTTTTGAGTGGTGTTGTCATAGTTACATGTCCTTTTAGGAGTTGCGAAGCTGCCCTATGTGTAAAAGCAAACACAAACTCGAATGGCCACATTTTTGTCTCACTTATATTTGAAACATAGAGTATGTTTTTGTGGTAATTTAACATGAAAATGGTGAGGAGATGTAAATACTGAAATAAAGTTGTCACACTGAAACAGGCCTAATTTTGATTTGATATATTATAAACACCATGGAAGACAATACATCTGATTGCCATTTCTTTGAATTATTAATGCGATTATTCCTAGATTTATCAACAGAACAGAGACAAGTAAACAACAAAATATATGTGACAGCCCTTTATTGTTTGGCTTGTATACAGTAGGTATAAGGTATCAGTCTATATTGGTATTGAGGTATATTAGCAGAATTGAACTTGGTTCCATAAAGGCTGTTGTGGCTGCAGGTTTTCGTTCCAATCAACCAGATTTGATCGCCAAGCTCAACAATTGAGTCCAGGCTGACCCTGAAGACCTGAGGAAATGGGTGGAGTTGGGTGTGCTCCTGCCAGGAATGAAATCCTGCATCCACACAGGCCTTTAGAGAACCCTGTTGAATACCCCTGGAAGCTTCAAGATCATTGTAATGACTTTCAAGATCAAGACACTTGTTTATTGTGTGCTATTGCATACTTTGTCGTCTATCACAAACAACTGCAAACCACTGTCTTGTCCTTGAAAAAACACAAAACAGGTCCAATTCTAGTATTCATTTTGAGGGAATGGACTGAACCAGTTGATTTCTTTCTAAAGTACTATAAATGCACACACAGTGAAGAATGAAAGAAGTTTGAGTCCACCACCATATCTTATCCCCAAAACACTGTCAAAGCAAATAGAGCAGATCTAGGCATGTTGGGAATAAGATTTTGTAAAATGCCCGGAGGTTATTTTCATTTGTCTGGAGCATGTGACTTCCCTCTTCTGTATGCCCTCATATGAACGCAAACCTCAGTACAATTTATGCCAGTAACCATGTATCACCAGTGCTGCGGTGGCCAATTCCCAGCTCACCATCTGTCTCCTCATTTTTGTCTTTTTTTTCTAAAGCACACCTTCACACTTGTTCTAACCCTGTGTTTCGAAGAACAAGGAATCCCCAATTGCTTTGTACTTGAGAGTGCGTCGGATTTGCTTTCAAGTGAACTTCATATAATATTGAAGTCATTTCTTGTCTTAAAGTTCAGTCTGAAAGCAGCAGCTGTAAGGAAGATTGTTTTCAAACTGGAACTCGCAGTCCACAAAACAATTTATTTTGCTTTTCATTAGTGCTGTCAGTTAAACTTCAGATTTCTAGACGTCTATCCCTAATCACAACTACTTCGAGGTCATAGCCCGAACCATGAAGCTTGAGTGACATCTGAGGCCTTAGCTGCAAAAAAGGAATGCAGTGATACTGTCAATGAAAATACTGTCCAATTTAAAAATGCTCTCCTCTAACATGCTCTCCCCTGGACACAACTGTACTGATGTTACATTGACTATTCAATTCAGATCAATGTTTTCTTGTATAGCCCTAAATCACAACAGTATTAGTTATCTCAGAGGACTTAACAAAAACCGGTGAATTTGCCAACACAGATCAGAGAATCAAACAGTTCAAACACAAGAATACAATGATAAAACACATAGAGCCATTGGTCCATAAGGGGCAGATTACCGATTTCCATACATATTGATAAATGTCCGGAATGTTGAGCGTCCTGGTTTACGGCTTGCTTCATCCAATCGTGAAAAGGCAATTGATCTAACAACCATTCTTAGATCTAAATGGTTGCCTTTTTGGTAACTACATCAATCTTTGTTTGTTCCCTACAGGACTACACGTTGACCATGTACTTCCAGCAGGCGTGGAGGGACAAGCGACTGTCCTACTCCGAGATCCCCCTGAACCTGACATTGGACAATCGAGTGGCTGATCAGCTGTGGGTGCCGGACACATACTTCCTCAATGACAAGAAATCCTTTGTGCACGGAGTGACAGTGAAGAACCGGATGATACGACTGCATCCAGACGGAACGGTGTTGTACGGACTCAGGTGAGGCTCTTGATCTTTAATAATCGAGTGTTACAATGCCGGGATAGTGGGACTCGCGTGTTGCTTTCAACTTGTGTTGCTTTCAGAGACGTGCAGTTGCTTTTGCCCATGAAGAAGACAGAAGTGTGTCAAAATATGAGGGTCAAAACAAACTTAGGGCTCTCAAAATAAGTCTTCTAAAGTCACATTGTGTGTTTGCTCAGTGGTAATGAGCCTTTTGACTAGTTCTATAGCACTCAAGAGGCTGGTTGTGAAGAGAACTTGCCTCACGCAATTTTTTTTGCTAAAAGTTTGAAAGTAATTTCTGGGGATTTGGTTCCAAGTGACATAAGATCTAAATTGGGGTGGCAGAGGCACAGGTGGCGCAGCAATCCCAGCTCAAACAATGTTGATGGAGCTCTTGGAAAGCTTATCAAAACGCTGTTTATCCAGTGCATCATTTTAATGTGAAGTAAACCTTTCCCCTGCAGACCGGCCAGAGACGATTGTCGCAGTTTACCAGAGTGTCCCACCATGGTGATTGGTATTTTATTGTCGTAGAATGGATTAATGAATAGGCTACAAGATGATACAGTATGAATACTTGATTCAATTTGTATTGTAAATTATGAAATGTATTCTCTGACTCAAGTCCACTGTTCATGATTACACTTGATTTGTTCATTTAAGAAATTCACCAACAGTCAAAAAAGAAATTTGCAACATTAAATACATACTAAATTGAAGTACTTAATAGCGATTACAAAGGTACTTTCATTAGTATCCTATTTTGTGATGAATTGTAAAATATTAAATACATTGTAGCTTTATCCCAATCAAGCCACTGTTTGAAGAGGAAGAAGCAAAGTCAATTTTTCAGAAAATTATTTATAATTCTATTTTCTCTATTTGTTATCACATCACGGAGATTTACAATTCATTCATGGTTTAATCATCTGAATAAAGGCATAATCGTATTTGTCAAATCATACCTTTGCTTTGTTTTCACACAAAAAATGTGCAAGGCTATAGCGTGGGATGTACTGATCCAGATTTTTTGTGATCCAATCTGATTCCGATATTCTTAAATATTGTTTTGCCGATACCGATCCAATTTTTTTCTAATATTTTCAAAGCATTAAACATTTTGCAACCAGTATTACTTTTAAATGTTTTTTATTTTTTTATTATAACGTGATCAAAAATATTGTTTGGGTTTTGCTTAACAGACCTACCAAGTTAGGTCATAGGTAGGAATCTCATCAGTATTGAATATTTCACCTTTAAAATAAACTTGAAATAGAAGAAATATCAAAGAGGAACATTTATCAAAAAGCGGCCCTCAACATTCAGTATAACAAAAAGAAAAGAGTTGGTACATAACTGAATGACCACAAAAAGCCAGTACTTAACCAGTGTGTGAACTGAATGTAAACTCCCCGATATTTAACAAATCCGATAATATCCAATCCTTACAAAAAAAGGAATCGGCCCCGATACCGATACTGAATATCGGATCGGTACATCCCTAGTAACAGCCCTAGTGTGTTCAACTATGAAGAAAAATACATCTAAACAATGATATTCATAACTTTTATTTGGTGACAAAGTTAAATATTCTTCATTTAGCCAGAGTCACATGCTGCTGCTGGTTCAATACAGTCCTCCACTTGAAATGATGCTTTCACAATATCTACAATCTCAATGAGTTTTGTGACATGTGCGATCGATTCAGGGTTTAGTTGGACTATTGATTCACTCAGGTCTGAAGTGAGTGTATGCGGTTAGAAAGGCCCTCCATCTCTTTTTATCACAAAACACATACACTAGAGCATTATACCACTTTCAACAACTACGGTGGATTGGTTTTCTTCTTTTCTTTTCAAGTGTTGTCTTTCAAGAGTGCAAATTAAGTTCCAACTATGCACTGTCTGAAAATCATAGATAATATTACTACTATTGCCTTTGTTCAATGTTTTGCCCTTTTGTGGACAATGCTCTTTGATTGTCTTTCTTAGAACCGGATATACATTTTACTTTCTTCCAATGAGCTTGTTTGTTATTTGCCAAAAGCCACTCAGCCCCTGTTGGATTATTAAAGTTGATGGGCTATTCGTCTCCCCTTCAAACTCCAAAATGATGACAGTTCACTTCTGGCCACTCATTGATGGTTCATTGCTCTGTCCAAAAAGGCCTCCAATGGCTGAGTTAACCCTTGTATTATGTTGGAAAAAAATGACATTGATTATGTTGCGGGTCATTTTGACCCATACTGTGTAAATGCACTCAAAACAGTCAAGAAAACAGGTTAAACCAATAACAACTTTATTTTAGGTTATATAAATATTTAGAAAAGTGACATACAATAAATTTTTAATTCCAACGCTATATTTAAGAATTATTTAGTCTAATCTTCTTGTCCTCCTCTCGGGTCAAAATGACAATTCTTCCCTCCTTCTTTCCTCCTGCCATGCTTTCTCCTTCCTTTTTCTCATCCTGTTTTCCTTCTCTCTGTTCATCCTTCTATATTCCCTTCTTTTCTCTTCCTTCCTTCCTGTCTCCCTTCTTTCCTTCCTACCTTCCTTTCTTCCTCCCTTCCTCTTCTTTGACCAAAGATTCGTCCTCTGAAACATCCTTATCGTAGGAAAATTGACAATCTGGATCAGGTTTGTCCTCTGTCTCTGAAAAATCCTCTGTTTCTGAAATCTCTTCCTCTACATCATTATCCCAGTTAAAAATCTGTGATAAAGTGTCCTCAGATGTCATCCTTCTGGAGCTCATTTTTGGTGAGTTTGTCAAAAGCCTAGCGCACATCGACAGAGTAACTGGAGACAACTAGTTGCAAGGCGGCTTTTGGCGACTGAGAGGAGATGATGGGAGATGATCAGTTGAAATCGGTCGATGTGAGCGCTCTTACAACTGGAGATAAACAGTCGATCTCCGGATTCAGTCAGTTGCCCGTGTTCTACTTTTTGGCAACTAGTTTTACTCAGATCCGGAGATATCACCCGATGTGCGCGCTCCAACAACATGTGTGTATTGCGCCCTCTACAGTTTATGTCAGAAAACACACTGTAGTTGAGGCCAGTTGCTGTCGATGTACGCGCTGTTATTCCCGAGACTGGCCTGCTACTAGGAGATGCCCGTTTTCGCCACATTGTCGATGTGTGCGGGGCAGGAACTCAAAGGCGACGGATATAATCAGTTGCCAGTCCGATGTACGCTAAGCAAAAGAGATGACATGAGAACAGTGACAAGGAAAAGTGTGAGAAAGTTCCCTCTCCTCACACACCTGGCTCTGGGTCTCAGAGGCAATCAAAATACAATGTCAAAGAGACATGTTTTTTTTGGATCTGAACAACTATTTACCCACATTAAAGCGTCTGGGTTAAAATGACCCGCAACATAATCTTTGTATACAAACTCTGCACAGACATTCCACTACACATCAAAGTGTCCAGGTGTTTACACACCTGTTCATGACCCTAGATGAGGAAAAGTCACCAAATTTCAGCAAGAAAAAGAAAGGATAACCAGTACTTTGATCAACACAAAAACTGAAATGGGTCAAATTGACCCTTAACATAATACAAGGGTTAATAAAACATTATTGAAAAGCAGAACATCTCGGTGGTCATCCTGGCATCAGTCAGGCTCTGCAAAGGGGCAGTGCCAAAACTCAGCTAAACTCAGATACAAAGGCAAATAAAACCAATAAATTAGGGTAAATATGAGGTAACGTTTATAGTATAGTGATAAACCTAACAACATAACAGGATCCATTGGTTAAGTAAATGTGGATTGTTTTAGATTTGGTGGTATATATTCTTGATTTTATTCTGCTTTAACTTGTTTGCACCGAGAGCCAAAGCAATTTCTTAGTTTGTGACTTATTGTTACTCGCATGGCAGTAAAAGGATTATGATTCTGATTCGGATGTCCATTCTCAAATAGGATTATTTATAAATATTTATTGAAAAATAAAAGTCATAATTTGTCTAAATAGAAAACAGTACACCATTAAATGGAACAACATTTTTATTTATCAAAGGTCTTTGTGTGTCCCCCATAACATATGATAAAACTGACTAATCATGTATACTGTATGTCCTGTAGAACTAAGGCAGTAAACCATGGGGCAAATATGGACGTATTTATCTCATAATATGTGAAGCTATCTTTTTGTAGAGCCCAAAATGATGAACAGAACTCTTAACATTTAACAGTATTCATGTAGTGTTGTGCAGGAACAATGGAACTGATTGGCAGCTAGAAATGCGTCACTCTGCCCCACGGTAGCAGTGTCTACAATAGTTTCTCATTATCACTGTGTGTGCCATGAATAATAAACCATGAAATGCATTCAGTGATATGTATATATATATTATGCATTATATTAGATAAGATGTGGCGATACTATTATGGCTGTCTTTTAAAGTCATAGCTGTTTTTTTTTTCTTGTTTGTATGTTTTAAATCGGACCTAGAGTATGTAATAAAGTTGAATTGAATTGATTGAAATATTAGAAATTAAAGTATGGACTTTTGCAATATACAGCTGCTAATGTACAGAGGCTAACATACTGCTGCTAATGTACAGATGTACAGATGTAGACTACTGCTAAGGTACAGATGTAAACATACTGCTGCTAATGTACAGATGCTAACATATAACCAAACTTTACTAGCACTAGAATACACAGTACTTTATACTTTGTATATAATGTTACATTTTTACATTTATTTTTATTTTCAAGATAGAGTTTTTATACTTATTATTGAAGCTAGAGATTTTGTTTTATTTGAATTAGTATAGCTATTGTTCAGGTAACGTGTGCTGTGTGCTCCTCTTTCCTACTGTTCTATAACTTGTGATGCACCACTGAAATTTCCCCACTGTGGGACAAATAAAGGATCTCTTAATCTTAATCTAACAGATACAGTCAAAATGTATCATTAACCTGGTCCATGATAAACCCTCAAGTAGCTGGGTTTACAAGTATGTCAATGCAAAATCCATCA